GGGGACAGCAGAGGGGAAGGCACAGGATGGCACAGGATGGGAGGGCAGATGGAAGGGGAAGGGAGGATGATGGGAGGGAGCGTGGAGGGAAGTTGGGGGGATGATGGAGGAAGGGTGGAGGAAGAGTGGGAAATGGTATTGTGGAGGGATTATTGAGGGAGGGTGGAGGGAGGGAGGGAGGGTGGGAGGGAGGGTGAAAGGGTGGAAGGATGGAGATGGAGCGCTATGTCTCCCATAGTTCACACCCCGAAGGAAAAAACAGCCACACGGCTCTATGGGCCCGGAGGCCTCAGTGTTATTAGCATATGCATCATTTGCGCCCACACGAATCCCCCAGGGTCCCTGTCGTATTTAAGTCATTTAGCCGGCGGCTCCCCCGTTCGTTTGACTGGACATTCATAGGAGAGTCATCACACACACACACACACATAACCAGCAGAGGCACACAAACGCGCGGCACGCTAAAACCCGCCAACAAGCCTATAATATATTTAACTTTTGGAGAGACATCCCCAGACTCCCGGATGGGCAGTGGCAGGTGTTGTGTCGTGTGCGGGGGTTTTTAATTGTTTGGATGTTGCGCACACAACACATGGGTGAGGGGCTCTTGCTGTGATGTTTCGTCTCACCCCACAGCCTTCACCACACAGCCTCTGGGGGTCAGTTGTTTTTTCAAACACGCCACGTGACGCCACCACACGCCGCCCTGATTCACTTGGAGGCCACAATATCCCAATGTGCCAGAATGTCTCGACGACGCCGGGGTTATGGGGGATGCATTTGCAATACGTCCAAAGCATGATATACACGTCGGGTGCATGCAATGTGGTATGGGATGTGGGGTACGTTTAGATTCTTTATATGGGACAGAGGGCGCAGGGTCGTCCAGCTGTGGAGGGCTGGAGAGAGGTGCCGTGGGGGACTCTTTTTAACATCTTTTACACAAACGCTTTTGTGGTGTTTTTGTGGGTAGGAATGCATGTGTTTTGTCTACTCCCACTTGTGGTGGTGTAAGTTGTTTTGAGCCACACCATCCTGTGGCGCGCAAGCGAGATTTTGTGCGCACGCAGCTGCAGCTGCATGTGTGCATGTGCATGCATGCGCTCGAACTGCATATTCGTTACCGACCCGTGGGTTTTCCTCTGCCCCGACGATGCCCTGTGGCGTCCTGCTTCCCGTATGCTAGTTTTAGCACGTGTGGAACAATTTAGGGCAGAACGATAGGTGTGATGGGAGCGACAAGCAAAGCTGTCGTGCTCAAATGGAGCGTGCTCAAATGGATGTTCGGCGACATGTTGACAACGCCACACACAAGCAACTCCACAGACTAAAGCGGGTGATGCGCATATAGACGTGTACATGATTTTTGAGGACATGACCTGGTGTATGGTCCCTTTCCTCTAAGCGGCCGCACAGCCACGGGCGGCTAATGTCCGGACACACCATCGAACATCAACCGCCTGGCAAACTGTGCTTAATCAAGCGACATAGCATATCAAAGTGCGGCATCCTCGATATGCATTCGATTACAGCGCATACAATGTCGAAAAAGCCGACAACAACTCAGAGCGGCACCGGCACCGGCTCATACAACAACGGCTCGTACAACCACTCCAACCAGCGAACAAACATTCCAAATCACGACGCGACAGCATCTCACGCAGCTGTAATATCGTGAACAACGGAAAAGAAAAACAGCTTGTCCATGCATTCCGCCTACCGTTTCCATAGCTTCAGTTCCCAACGCAGCCATCAGAAACGCGACCGTGCAACGAAGTGTGTCAACGCATGCGCGGCAAAGAAATCTGTAGCACCAGGCGTCATAAAAAGGTGTGAAGGCAGCGCGCACGTTGGTTGCTCCGTGTGTGTGTGCGCGCGTAGTCCACCGCAGTGTGTACGCGACCTCCGCACTGCACCCATACATGGCTTCCACGTGATGCCCCAACCGCCCAATCGGCATATCTACGCTAAGAACCCTCATACCAAAGCCAGCACCGAGGCACGGCCCATACGTTCATGAATTAAACATAATTATTCTACCTGCTACCGTCCCCTATGTAAAAGCCCTATGGACAACAAACCATATAAGCCCCCCTTTCCCCCTTTTGGCAGATGGACTGCAGCAACAGCAAACCAGCATTCGTGGGCAGCAACAGGAGCGATAGCATACATTTGTGAGGTAAGGTGGGGCTGCTGGCAACACAAGAAATAGGATGCCATAGCATCTGTCGTGGGGCTACCGTCAGGGGGGATGGGTAAACATTGAAGTGGAGACCGAGGTGAAGCGGGTTGGTTATGAGGGCGGGTTTCAGGGTATCACGTTGGCCCTTCCCTGCGGCCCCCTAGCCTAATGCCGTCCTCCCCCTCAGCCCCGCCTAGCCTAACACCGTCCTCCCCTGCGGCCCCGCCTAGCCTAACGCCGTCCTCCCCTGCGGCCCCCTAGCCTAACGCCATCCTCCCCTGCGGCCCCCTAGCCTAACGCCGTCCTCCCCTGCTGCCCCCTAGCC